GGGATGTGTGTGCAACCCGGTCCTGGCTGGCCAGGCCAGCCTGGACATGCTCACCTGGGGAAAGGGATGTCCAGGGAAAAGAGCAAGGGAGGAACCCATGAGAAAGAGAAAGATCTTTATGCAGGCACTCACTTGGGGAAGGCTGCTCTGCCCTCTGGCCAGGACTTGCGCTGGCCTGGGGAGAGGGCCTGGCAAAGGCAGCGTGTGGTGGGGATGAACTGGACCCAAGAGCAGAAGTTCTTCCAGTTTACTGACCTCCATTTCCTCATGCTGTGGTGAGCATCCAGCCCTGGGGCTGATGGGGAGGCTGCCCCCTCTCTGCCTGCCAGCAGCTGCTGTGCCCCTCAGAGGGGCTGGGGCTGTGGGGTGAGTGCCCAGAGCTCTGCAGCACCCTGCAGTGGGCCCTGACATGGACACTTTTAAAAGAACAGTTTTGTCCTCCAGGCACCTGATCAGCCCCCCCACCCCAGCCTGGCTATTAGCTCACTCCTGGGCTCTTCTTTCCAGCTGAAACCCCTCCAAGGTGAACTCCCAGGTCTGGTTCTGAGGTGACATGCTGCTTGGTTTCAGGTCTGCTCCGGAGGATCTAAGGCTGAGCAGGGTGCCCATGAGCATGGCCTGCCCTCCTGCCTGCCACAGGGGTGTCCTCAGAGACAGCAGACACACAGGGCCCTTGCCCCTGCCTCAGCCTTCTGTGATTCAACACAGGCACTTGATGGCTGACCTGGCCTGGACTCTTTTACTCACAAACACAGCAGAACTGGATGAGGATGTCAATGCTGAGGGCAGCCATGGCTGCACTGACCATGGCAGAGACAAAAGACAAAGAGCAGACTCACAGCCTTGGACTACAGGAGAGCAGATTTCAGCCAGTTCAACATCTGCTTGGCAGGATCCTGGAGAGCCAAGGTCCATGCAACCCTCTTGGATCTTCATGTACAACAACATCAAAACCCAGAAACACATCAGTCTGCTGTTCTGGGAGTTGAGCAGGACCTGGCTGGAGGCTGGTGGGGGTGAACAGGGATCTTCTGACTCAAGCCTTCAAAGACCACAAGGCATTGCACAAGGCTGGAAGTGGGAACAGGTTCTCGAGGAGTTAGAGAGAGACATGGCCTTGGGGTGCAGGGATGGAGGCAGGAAAGCCAAAGCTCACCTGGGGCTGGAACTCACAAGGAATAGGGAGAGCAACCACAAGGTCTTCTGTAAGTTCACTGGCAGCACGAGGAGTCAGCTGAGTAAAATGTGGTCTCACGGCTCTCAGGGGGGCAGGATATGTTGCCACAAGCCCTGGAAAAGGCTGAGGAACTCACAGTATTTTTCCCTTCCCCTTCCCCTGGTAAGATCTGCCCCAGGCCTCCCTGGTCCTCGAGTCTTCTATCGACATCTCTGCTAGTAAGGCTGCACCCGTGGCAGAGGAAGCTGTGTCTGAGGGGGCACTTATGTCTTTTGGGCACACACAGGTCCATGGGCACACACATAGGTCCAGACGGGATGTGCCCAAGGGTGCTGAGGGAGCTGGCTGGTTGTCATTGCAAGGCTGCACTTGATCCTCTTTGAAACGCCAGGGCAAAGAGGCAGCTCACTGCTGGTGGGAAAAAGACAAACATTGCACCCAGTTTCAAGCATGGCAAGAAGGAGCTTCCGGGGAACTACAGGCTGATCTGCCACAACACAGGCCCTGGGAGGGTGATGGAAGAAATTCATTTGATTAATTGCTTTGCCCACATCTCTCAGCAGTTGCTAGCTCAGATGTCCTGGGGTAGCTGAAGTTAGCCCTATGCTGCTCGGAAACATGACCCAGGACCTATGGGAACCCTTCTGGAGCATTAGCTGGTCACCAGGAAAAGTATCTCCAGGGACCTCATTTGAGACGACTTCTTCCTCTCCATTGACTAGAAAGGGCAGTCGAAACAACTTGATTTGACATAGGCATCTGTGCTGAGGTGTCTGATGTTGGGGGAGACCTGTCTCCTCGCTTTCTTCACCTAAGGAAGAGTCACTCTTCATTTACCCAGGAAGGAGTGGACAGGGAGTGGACAGGGAGTGTTCACAGATGACCCAAAGATCCCTTTATGTAGATACTGTAATAGAGATGTGTTGAGGTGAGTGCAAATGTGGCCACCCAAACCCAGGCTGTTTCACTGAACTTGGTCACCCGGCTGCCCAGTATCAGCTGAGAGAGCCCGACACCTTGGTGGGTGACTGTCTCTGTGCAACAAATGAGGAGTGGCTGTTGGGAATGAATTTGTGAATCCCGCCAACTGCACCAATTTGTTGCAAATGAGTGACTTTACACAATTTGGTTTAGTACGAGGTTTTCGTTTATTTTTACATTTACAGCAAATCACAGGACTGGATTGTGATATTGCAATAGCACTCAATCATCAGTCGATTAACAAAGGGATTCGGCAAAGTTTGTTTAAATCAAAGCAGCGACAATTACTAAGATTTGAAAATCGCAAGGTTCACTCTATTGCTGCTTGGAGGAAACAGACAAAGGAAAATTAAGTTACACACGAGTTAGAATGGCTCACAGAGAGATCGTGGTTGCAGAGAATAATGAGGACCCTCTTGTGTCACGAGGTTCAGAGCAGGTCCCCTTGCTTTCTCGACTCCTTTTCAGAGAGGAGTCTGGGTGCTGCTGGGTCAATCTCAGTCTCAGACTTGGTCAATGGTTTATGCCTAGGGATAATTTGTGTCTAGCAGCAGTCTAGGACCCATTTTGTAATGCATTCACACACATTATTTAAATCAATTCCCAGATGCATACACACAGACATGATTCTATTTATATCTATGTATAGAAATAGTTTTACCTGTTAAAAATTCCCCTCGAGTTCAGGGTAATATGTGAAATGTCTTGGCATTTTTCAGTGGGTGAGGGCTGATCCTCAAGGAGGGAAGGGTTTCAGCCCAGGCTCCCCTCTTGGTCTTTGGCAACGGACCTCCGAGCAAACTTGAGAGTCTGTGAGACCTGAGAGGCATCCCACTCGGAGGGAGGTGCTGGTCCCAGCCTGCTGCAGTCCAGGAGAGCTCAAAGGGGCCTCACTTTGAACCGCTGTTTTATAGGGTCATGAGATGATTGGCTTTAGTCATTTGTAGACTGACCACAATCAGGCTGGAGATTAATGAATTTCCAGTAACCATAGCACCGCTGCTCTGGGGTTGTGACACTGGTACCGCCCCACTTGGGTTACTACCCAGGTGAGGCATGTGTCAAGGCTGTCAGGGGGTAGCCGATTGTTCCTGTTCTGCTGCCCACTTTGAGCAATTGTGATGGGTTGACCCCGGCTGGACGCCAGGTACCCAACAAAGCCGCTCTATCACTTCCTCCCCTCTGCTGGATAGCGGGGGAAAGATATAATGAAAAACTTGTGGGTCAGCATAAGGACAGGGAGAGACCAAATACCATCACGGGCAAAATAGACTTGACTTGGTGAAAATAATTTTAATTTATTACCAATCAATTCAGAGTAGGATAATGAGAAATAAAAACTGACTCGGAAAACACCTTACTCCCACCCTTCCCTTCTCCCCAGGCTTAACTTTTCTCTCAATTTTTCTCTACCTTCTCTACCTCCTTCTGCTGAGTGGCACTGGGGGATGGCGAATGGAGGTTCCAGTCAGTTCATTGTGCTTTTTTTCTGCCACTCCTGCCTCCTCAAGGGAAGGACTCCTCATGCTCTTCCCCTGCTCCTGTGTGGGGTCCCACTCATGCTATGTCCCATGTGCAGATCTTCAGGGCTGTGCTGAGGATCCCCTCTCAGCAGGGATGGCACAAAACCTTTTCAGCATGTCTCCCTCACCTGGCCATGGTCTCCCCTTTTCTCAGCGCTGGCATGGTTGCCCACCTGAAGCACTCGCCCATCTCCTCCCCATCCCTAGACCTGGTGATGTCATTTCTGTACTCGGTGGTGCCTCCAGCAGTGAACCCCCTCATCCACAGCATGAAGAACAAGGACCTCAAGGAGGCTTTATGGAGATTGACCCAAGTGACACTGTTTCACTGACAACAACCTGCCTCCACTTCTTCTCACATTTCCCAGAGTTTATGTTAGGCCACCAGTCCTCTTCATCTCTTGTGATAATCCTCCTGCTTACAGATATTTTGCTGCGTTCATAAAACTTGTCTTGAGCATTTATCCTACTGTGCCTCACTCTTGCACAACACTCTGTCAAGGGTGGCCTTTCAGATAACAACTCTTCAAATCAAAGGACATCTCCCAGGTTTAGTGCCTGAAGGCTGGGCATTTCCTCCAGAGCTCCTTCCAAGACAATGTCCAAGGTCTTTGAAAGAGCCTTTTCTCCTTGTGTTCTCAATGTTTTAGGGGTTAAGCTCATGGTACCCTTTGGTTCCACTGGACCAAACATTCTGGAGTTCAAAGCTCTCTTCCTGGTGTCCAATGGGAGGGGAACTTGTCCATGAGCTCCCATTATCAACTCAGGTTTCTTCGTGTATGACAGGACTGATGGCATATACCGGACTCTCTCGAAATGAATTTGGAGGGGTGAGGAGAG